AATTTAGCCATGATTCAGTGGGTGGCGATTACCCAAGAGTATATGGGTGGCACACATTGGAGAAATAGGTTATTTATTTTTTAAAGACAGTAGCAAATTTGGCGGCAGGGGGGGTGTAATAAGAAGTGCTGGATTTGGGAGGAATTTGGCATAAATATTATCAAAATACATTGTAAAAATTCTCAAAGAATTAGTAAACATACGTTTTAATCTTAAAATTATATTTTTAGAAAATTTCACACATACACCACAACACAAAGTGAACATCTTCACATCCACCCTTTCCCTTCTCCCTACCACCCTGTCTACCTCTAACTCTTCCCCACAAATATCTCTTACGTTCATGTCTATTCATTTTGTTTTGTGACCCACTGACCAGGGGGCCATCTGAGTGACTATGGTCGGGAGCTAAACGTATTGTTTTACCAGAATTAACTGAGAATGTCATTACAAAGTGTATCTTAAAATCAGTATTAATCAACATCAATGAACACTGCTCCTGAGCCAGACATTTATTTATTCAATAAGCAGATTTTTATAGCATATCAGATCTTGCATGAGGTCTTTCTCTGAGATATGACACTATCCTTTTCCGGAAGGGGCCCAGAATCCCAAACCCTCTAAAATTCCTGTAAGTGAATCCATCTTGGTGAACCTTGAGCAATTGGTGTCAGGTTAGGGATGCTTGATTTCCTCATCTATAAAATCAAGACAAAACGTCTCTTTGATAAAGTTCTCATGAGGAATGAATGAGAAAAACCAAAGAAGATGCCACTGGCCTTTCAGAGTAGACTCGCCAGTATCAAGAGGTACGCCGGAGGTACGCCGGGCTGGAACGCAAAGGATTGCATTGCTTGCTGAATGAACAGAGTGAAGGAATTCAAGGAGGAATAAACAATATCTTCCTTAGAAGTGGAATAGGGGGAACATACTTAGCCTGTGAGCCTCAGATGAGTCCATTTTTTATGCAAATGTTGAATATCCTTGCTAAACTATCCTGTTGCCATTTTAAGAGGGAAGCCATGCCAAGTGGCTGGGTTCAAAAAAAATTTAAAAGTCAAGTTTACTTGGCAAAGCCTCAGGGCAAAGGGGAAACTGAGCTTCACCTTGCTCTTACAGTTTGTTTGGTTTTCCAAAACACCTGAAAGTGGAACTATTGCATGCTGCATGACCCAGCTATGCCACTTCTGGGTATTTACCTGAAGAACTCTTAAGTCAGCATAGCACAGAGGTACACAGGCATTGGTGTTTATTGTACTGATTCACTAGAGCTAAGTTATGCAATCCGTCTAGGTGTCCAACAAAACAGGAATGGATACTGTGGTATACACACATGATGGAATTTTTCTTAGCCATAAAAAGAAGGAAGTCATGACATCTGTAGGAAAATGATGCATCTTAAGACAATCACAGTAGGTAATGAAGCTATTCTTAGAAAGACAAATAGCGTGTATTTTCTCTTAGTTGAAGTTCTCAGGTTTTATATAAAAAACACAAAATCATGTATGTATATATGATGTGAAAGTGTCTAGGGAACAAAGGGTACTAAGCAGAGGAGGAAGGGTAAAAGGGGGAGAGTAGGAGGAATAAGCTCAGCCTAAAAAATATATATGCACGAAAACCTAAAACTAAAGAATTTACTTCATTGTGGTATGACTGCTATACAACAAGGTGGATGCATTGAATATGTCCAGGCTGATGAGTCTGGAGGCCAGGGGCCTAACTGAGTGGACTTTGTGAATAATAAAGATGCACTGGAAAGCTCTAAGCAAAGGGACCATGCCATGGCATGCTGCATTTGAGGCAGAGTGCACTGGTGGCGATGTAGATGACGTACTGACTGGGCCATGATGCAGGTAGAAGAGAGACACTGGGGCTATATAGCCCAGCTGAGGTATTGGACTGTGCTAAGGGCAGAGGAGGTGAATATGAGGCAGACCTGAGACATATGTGGAAGGGAAGCTAGCAGGACATTGGAATGGCCAAAATGGGGTAAGACAATGAGTAGCCAAGGACACTGGGAATTTCTAAAGTGATGGCGCAGGGCATTCATTGGAGAAGGGGAGCCTGGGAGGCAGGGCTGCTCTCTATACAGAACCAAGGAGATTCAGTTTGGATTTTTTCTTTTTTTTTCTTTTGCCCAGGCTTGCAGCATATTTTGCTTTCTTTTATTAGCATATACTACCTAATATAACTGGTTGCATCATGGCATTTTCATACATGCATATAATTTGACCATATTTACCCCCATTACCCTCTATTACCACCTCTCACTCCTGCTGATCCCAGCAAGTCCCCCTTCTACTAGCATCTCCCCCACATCTGTTGATTTTAACTAGACTTTCTTACACATGCCAGAGTCAAGGGTTACTTAGAGATGCATGGCTGAGGGGACGTCTGCAGGACATGGATGAGGGGTTATCTACAGGAGTGTTGGTGGTGGGTTATTTACTGGGATGCCCATCTTACCATTGGCTACCCCACCGAAGAAAATGTTTCTCCTTTCTCCAGCAACTATTACCTTCCTACAGACCATCATACAGGGGTGGGGCCTCATGACCTACCTTGCTTCCTGCATAATGGAATGCTGACATGCCCAATATCATGTCTGTCTTTTGTAGGTTATCACAGCTACTGGTGGTTCAAAAGCGTATTTGCTTTTAAGCAACTGATACAGGAACTCCAGGAGAGTTGAGATGTTCTTCCTCTTGTCTTTGCACACACAGGCTGGGCTTTCCTGCTGTCCTTCTACAGTCCTTCCCTCATATTACACTGAGCCCCCGGCTTGCCCTCTTCCTATCTCCTCTGCACCTGCAGTCATTAGTGCCTAAGACTATGACTGCACACGTAGGGAGAGAATATTTCTTTTTCTCAGCTGGCAAATAAGAGTGGGTGGCTCTGTGAAAACAAAGTTACAAAATGACTTCTCTGCTCCCTCACCCACTGGGCCACCTACTCAGCCCCTGGATTCGGCATCTGTGGGCAGACTCTGCTAACAAGTGGTCTCTTAACATTTCTCAGTCAAGCAAAAGAAGCCAATTTTGAAAGAAAGGATGCGTGTTTACTTCGGTGCTTTATGAGCAAGGAGGCAGGGCTCTAGGGAGGAGGTATGTTTTGCCACATTTGACATGATGCAAAGAAGCAAGCTGACAGGCTGGGCGTGTGGCTCAGTTGGTTGCTTGTACCTCTATGAACAGCATGCTTGTGAAGTTCAACCTCCCTGGCTAGCTTTCTTTTTGAAGCAGGATTGGCAATAGAAAAAATCATTCTTTCTGTACTTAAAGTATGCATATTCCTAAATACATAAATATAACCTGATCAGCCTGTATAATGTTACTTATATGTATGTATTTTGGAATATTTATGTGTGCACAGATGGATACACACACACACACACACCACACATAAATAACAGCAATTAAAAAGTGGCCATGCTTTCAAAGAGAGCAAGGGTGGGTACCTGGAAAGGTATGGGAGGGAAGAAAGAGAGGGGGAAATGATGAACAGTAATCACCAAAAAATATTTAAGAGCATGTATATTTAGGGCTGGGGATGTAACTCAGTTGGTAGAGTACTTAATTAATGTTCACAAAGCTCTGTGTTCCATCCTCAGTGCCACGTGAACCAGGTGTGGTGGTGGTGCATGCCTGTAATCCCAGAACTCAGGAGGTAGAGACAGCAAAAGAAGAGTTCAGGGTCATCCTCAACTATAAAATAAATTCAAGGTTGGTCTGGGCTACATAAGATCTGTCAGTAAGCTCTTCCTCACAGATGAACTCTTAAAACACTGTGGTCTGCTGTCTGCTTTTCTTTGCATACACCCTGGGTCTCCAGAAACATTTAATGAAGCAATGGAGAGTCATGGCCCTGGGTGTCCAGTTTCTAGCATATTATAATCTCTCTTTGATCTGAATCCTATCGTGTTGTTCCTTGCTTCTTAAGAGTCATCAGAAAAGCAGGTCATGTGGTCCAATTGCATAGAACCTTGGGTTAAAAGAACAATATTTGCCCACCCCATTTGTAGCTTTCTTTCTGTCCCCAAATGGAAAATGGCCTTTGAGAAGTAAGCAGTAAGAAGTAAGTATAATCTAATTTACTATTAATTAGGAGTAGAGGCTAAGACATAGATGAAAGTGTCTATGTTGTTATGAACTGGATATGAACTGGATGTGGATTGCACCCTATGTGACCACACCCCAAGTTGGTATTTTGAGGGGTGAACTGGTTGATTTTAACTGAACTTGACAGAACACATGATTGCATGAGGGGAGAGTCTCCATGAGGGGAGGAATTATTTAAAACAAGCTCATCTGTGGAAGACTGCTTTTAATTGTTCATTTGATATAAGAAGACTCAGATTATTGTGGGTAGCAGCATTCCCTAGGCAGGGATTCCTGAACAGTGTAAGAGAGGCGATGCTAGGAAGTATGGATCCAGGCCTTTATTCTCTTTGCTCTTGACTACAGATACAGTAAAGTTTTAAGTTCCTGCCTTGACTTCCCTGTGATCATGGTCTATAATCTAGAAACCCTTTTCGTTGCTTTTTGTTAGGGTATTTGTCACAAAAGCTGAAATGAAAATACAGTGGAGTTCATGGAGTATTTTGGTAGGAGAGCCTAGATAATGGAAGTGAATCACGGGGCTATGTGTGTGGATGTTTGAAGATGCAGCCCAGCTCTGGTTTCAGCCTAGCGCTCTCTGCCTCAGAGCTGCCATCAGGTGAAGAAGTTGTAGCTGTAAGCTTCTGCTGCCTTGGAAAGGAGCCATTCCACTCTGCCCTCCTCCTACTGTGGACTGAAGTCCCTGGAAACTCAGCCGAAATGAACTGATTCTCCCTTATATTATATCTGCCAGGTATTTTATCACAGAGATGAGAAAAGTAACCAATACAGACTTGACAAAACAAGGCAAGATTTGATTTAAAATTAAATCTATCTGTACAGTGTGTAAGGAGCTCAGATCTTGCAATCAGGACAGGCAGGTAGATGGCACCCCCTTACCTGGGTCTCAGTGGCAGCATCTTCACCCCTCCATCCTGAAAGGGGCTCACGGGCCACTGCATCCTCCACATATTCAAATGATGGGCCAGTCTGGGTCTTTGACTCTGCTTCATTCTGCTTTTGGAAACTGGTTTTTCCTAAATGAAGAAAGGCACATTAAATAAAAAACAGACTTTCACTGACCTTTGACAATTTTAGGAAGGAGGAGGGGAGACATTTAAAAATAATATGAAGGTCTGAATATGGGGAAATATTGGGTCTCCTGCCATTCTGTTCCCTATTTGAGTGTGTGTTGCCCAAATATTTGCATAACTGTGTAGACATATCTACAGAGGAGACCTAAAGTCTCCTCTGCCCTGGGACCTGACATCTTTCAAAACAGGTTGAGGCCTTCCACATTAAAAAGGGTTCAACAAGCAAACCATCAGGAAACAGGAAGGCTATCTGTCAAATAATGCTGTTTATCAAATAATGAACACATTTTGCAGGCTGCTGTGATTTAAATATGAAATGATCACCACAGGCTCACCCATCTGAACACATGGTCCCTGACTGGTAGTGCTGTTTCAGAAAGTTATGGAACCTTTTAAAGGGTTTGCCTCACTAGAGGAAGTGGGTCACTAGGAAGAGACCTTGGCACTTCATAGCCTGGTCTCACTTCCCGTTCTCTGTTTTCTGAATGTGAATGCCATGTAACCAGCTAGCCTCCTGCTCTCATTGTCATGTCTTCCCTCCCAACTGTTGTCTTCCCCCACTGTGATGGGCTGTATCTCCTTGGAACTGTGAACCAAAATAAACCCTTTCTTTCTTAAGTAGCTTTTGTTTGGATATTTTATCATAGCAATGAGAAGAGAAATAATTCAGAGGACTAATACGAGATCCTTCGAGAATCTCCATGAAAAGGATACAATTTTTCAGCCTTTCCTAAACATCATTGAGCAGTGGATCCTTGTTTCCCTTTGCTGATGTTTTTAAAGCTTTATAAAATATATATATATATATATATATATATATATATATATATATCTACCCCCCCCCCCCCCCCCCCCCCACCCCACCACACACCCCACCCACACACACACACACCCACACACCCACACACACAGAGGGGGGGGGAGAATTTTATGTATCTACATAAAAATCAGAAGAAGCATGCTATTTGCCTTCTGGACATGTGTGCCATTCTCTTAGTATGCCCATCTACAGTTGCATGTATTTTCCTGCAAATGACACGACTTCATTCTTCCTTGTAAGTGAACAAATTTCCATTGTGTATACAAACCACATTTTCTTTATCCATTTCGCTGTTGATGGATACCAAGGCTGGTTCCATAGCTTAGCCCTTGTGATTAGTGCTGCAGTGAGGACAGACGCACAAGGCTCTCTGTGATGTCTTGTTTCAGAGTCCTCTGGGTCACATGGAAGATTTATTAGTTTCGAGGAATCTCTGCACTGACTTAGAGAGTAGCTGGACTGTCCACATTCCCACTAGCGGTGTTATATGGGTTCCCTTTGATCCGCAACCCCATCAGCATTTGTTGCTACTTGTTTTCTTAATAACCTTTATTCTACCTTCTATAGGACAGAATTTTAATGAGTTTTGACTTGTAATTCTCTGATGGCTGACGAAGATGAACATGTTTCTCATTTATTTGTTGTTGAAGCTGAAGGATCTTAATGGTGGCTCCTCTTTTAGAATGATGAAAGAAGGGATTCTGTAAGTCAATGTCCTATTGTGGCATATATATGTATAGATATAGATGGATACACATACACCCACACACAAATAGACATAGTTATGGAAAATCCAATGAAAACAAACATAAGAAGAATGAAAGGGAGGAATCTTCAGGAGAATAATGCAACCAGAAATAAATATTAAGCAAATTGTGCCAATCTCAGAAAGACAAATATTGTATGTTTTCTCTCGTGTGTAGTTCTTTTATTTTATATAGCTAAAAAAAATCATATATTTACAGATGACATAAAAATAGAAGGAAAGTGTTAGGGGGCCAAAGGGGACTGGTAGGAGAGAGGACAAGGGCAGAGAGGGCAGGGAATAGGAAGAAATGTAGGCACAACATAAACATATACTTGTATATATTAAATATAAACTTTTAAAAATAAGTTTAAAAAACTACCCTAATTATTAATAGAACGTGCCACACAGCCCTCCATAGCAGTTTGCTTAGGTGAGACAATAAGGTAGTTATGCTTTTACCAACACTGTGAGACGTGTTCAGAAGACTCCATGTTTGAAATGGGACTAAGAAAAAGGCAGTATCCAACTGTAAATCACACAGAAAGTGGCTATTGGGAAGGAGGGAAATGGAATCAACTGTGCAAATCACACAGGAAGTGGCTGTTAGGAAGGAAGGAAATGGAATCCCATTTTCCTTTTGTTCCTGAAACGTCTGCACTACATCATTTTTCACCTAACAAATGGTCACCGAGAAAAGCACCGGAAGGCAGCCCTGCTTATGTGGGTGTCATGGACAGGAAACTTCAGGGTGGGTGACCCCAAGATGGCCTCCTGTCTGCCTACCACTGTCTCCCATATACTACCTTTTTACAACTCTTTGTGACAATTTAATTAAGACACAACCCTTGGGATTTGGATGCAGCGAATATAAGTGGCAAGATCAGAACAATCTCCTTCCTGTCCCCTTCTTATGAAGCAATTCAAAGCTTGTGGTTTCTATTCAATTTGTTATAATGACAGTGTTTAATCATGGAGTCTACTCGGCAGCCCGCTGCCGAATTGAGGTCACACATGCGACTATTCAGGCATAGAGCACATAATCTATAACTAAGATTTCGCCCCTGAAGCTCTGGAGGCTGTGCCATTAATTAACACTGCACTTACTTCAAAAATAATATGCATTATGGCCTTTAAAAATGTAACCTTGGCTGGGAAGGAGCGAGAGTTCTGATGAGGCCCCTTGGCCATTGCTATCGCTGTGTGAAGAGTTTAGTCACAGGAGCAGTCTGATCCATCCATTCAAACATGTTTAATTAACAGCCTTCTCTTTCAAGTCTCAGAAACCTATAGGATAACCTTCATGTGTGGCTCCTTTCCGATCTTCTAACCATAAACAAAAGCACTGTTTTAGAGAGAGCTTATACCTGTCTTGTCAGAGCCACAATCACACATGTTAAGAATTATTGAGCATCATCCTGGTCTGCAATAAATATTTTTAATCAAGGGAACAATGAAAAAAAAACTTTGACCCTTAGCTTGGCCTTGTCTTTGCTCATAAAAGCTTCTTTCCATTGGTTGCAGGCAGGTCTCGAAGGGAAGGTGAGCCATTTTCCTCTGCAGCCAACACACAACCTGCTGCTGATCAATCAAACTAAGTCTTTATGGTTCAGCAGCACGTGAACGTACATTAACGAGATAGAAATATGTCAGAAGTCTTAATAGTCCTGGGTTAGAGGGCACACAACATTCCACTTACATCAGTGTGTTGGGGCTAAATTGTTCTATAGTCAGAACATCAATTTTTAATAGATTTCTATATTTTAAACTATGTGTATAGATGTGTCTCCATACAGGCATGTGCACTTGAGAGCAGTACCTCCAGGGGTCACAGAGGATATTGGATCCTCTGGAGCTGGAGTGACAGGTAGTTGTGAGCTGCCCAATGAAGGTTCTGGGAACTAAACCCAGGTCCCCTTCAAGAGCAGTACACACTTTTAACAGCTGAGCCATCTCTCCAACCCCTCTTTTAAATAAGTCCTATGTGGAGTTTTTTAATAAGGATAAAATCCCATGAATATATTGCATATTTTTGTTTCTTCATCAATTTATGAACCATCTGTTAGTGTGCTGTTTCCTTTTATGAATGCTCACTCCTTAACACTAAAAGTTGATAATGTCATTTTGTTAATTAGTGCATGTGTGTATATTTATGAATGTGTACGTGTGTGTATTTGTGTGTGTGTGTGTGTGTGTGTGTGTGTGTGTGTGTGTGTGTGTGTGTGTGTGTGTGTGTGTGTGTGTGTGTGTAGAACAGATAGAAACTTTGGGTGTTGTTCATCAGGTACCTTGTATAAAATCTCTCACTGCTTGGTGTTTGCTGTTTGTCTAGACTTGCTGGTCAGCAAGCTCCAGGGAGTGGCCTTTCTCTAATTCTACAGCACTGAGATTACAGATTATATGTTTTTTTTGCATGGGTTCTAGGAACTGAACTAGAGTTACTGTGTTTGCAAACTTCACCACCTTATCCATTGAGCCATCTTCCCAGCCCCTGATAAGTTCTTACATGTGTAGTTCCACTTTCTGGTTGAGGGTATAGAGAGATTTCAATAAATTGCATTTCAGTGGAGCAGAGGTCACTGTGTGACTTGCCTCCTGCCAGGTAGTTTTATATGTTCATCAGCAAGCATGCTATTATGGAGGGAACAATTTCACTGGAAATTATATGGCAGCACTTTACCTGAGGAAGTGGCCTTGGGAAGGTGGCTCTGCAGAGCTTGAATCCCTCTGGCCATCACGCTAGGGTCAGATATGGAATGGATGACAGTGGACTCCGAGGAGCTCTGGCTGTCTGTGGAGGAAGGCACTTCACGTTCAAGAGTTTGGGCTCTGGCAGAGGAAGTTATGGAAGAGGCTGGCTGGAGAGGTGGGAGGGGCTCAGTGTCCTCTGGGGAGTCTGGCTGGCATATGTATCGTCCCATTGAGCGGTTTCCTGAGTCCGGGAGAGGGAAGGTTCCAATCCCACTGTCCAGTGTTCTCATCTGGCAGTTTGATTCTAACATAGAGAAACACAGAGAAAAATTAGAGAGGGCTGACATAAAAATCAACAGTCATTATTTAGATGTCATCTGGAAGAAAGAAGGCATCCAAAGGGAAGAATTTAGAAGAATGTACATAAAGGACTGGTGAGATGTCTCAGCTGCGAAAGGCACGCACTTGTTTTGGAAGCTTGGTGACCTGCGTGTACCAGTAGAATGGTTGAAGGAGAGAAAAACAATTCTCTGGTCTCCACATGCCCATTATAGCATAATGCCCCTCCCCTAATACTCTGTGGATACAAACACACAATGATAATGACAATCATACTAACACAGAAGAAAAATGACACACATTTGAAAAACTGTTCTAAATATCCAGTGAGGTGCATGCAGCTGAGGTTTTGTTGAATATTAAAGTATCTCCTTCACATGATGAAGTAAGGAGGTTGGCCCAATTATGGGTGGCCATAGTTTCCATATGCACTAGATGGTTCTCTAGAGTGACAAGAGAAAAAGGAACCCACATTAGAGACTAATGATTACTTCTGATTATCTTTATTTCAGTCTGGGGCTCATAGGGCTTCAGTTAGGTGAAGTTTAATAACTGAAATAAAGTGAGTAATGAGCACACATAACAGACCCCAGTGATGTCCTGACACAGTGGATGGCATGTCTCTTGCACTGGCTGACTCAGTACTGCCCCAGCCTCTAACGTGGACAGTAAGGACACAGGTTACTCCAAATGTACTTAGGGGTCAGATCAGCGATAACCACGTGATATGTGTGTGACAGACACCTTTTTAAAGAAGGTCTGGGGAACTCTGCCCTTAATTGTTGCTTTATGCAGTGACAAGACTCATCACAGCCCTGTGTGTGTGTGTGTGTGTGTGTGTGTGAAGTAAAGGCCAGAGGTCAAAGTCTGGTGTCTTCCTCAATCATGTTCCACCTTATATTTTTATTTTATGTGTATTAGTGTTTTTTCCTGAATGTATGTACATGCACCATGAGTGGAGTACCCTTGGAGGCCAGAAGAGGGCATCAGATTCCCCAAGAACTGGAGTTATAAGCTGCCATATAGGTAGGTGCTGGAAACCAAAGCTGAGTCCTCTGAAGGGCAGCAGGTGATCTTTACTGATGAGCCATCTCTCCAGCTCACTTCACTTCACTTTTTGAGACATGGTCTCCCACTGAATTGAGGCTTGCCCATTCAGCTAGATTAGCTAGCCCGTGTGCTTCTCTTCTTCCTCAGCTTGGGTTTGCAGATGCTGACACCACTCCTGGCTTTTTATATAGGTTCTGGGGGGACCAAACTTGGGCCCTCATGCTTGCATGGTGTAGCACTGTCCTGACTAAGACATCTCCTTAGTTCCACCATGTGGATTTTTCATTCCTTCTAGACAGCCCAGTATTTTCTAGAACAAATTAAGCTGATTTTTACCATGTATATGACAAATTGAGTAAATTATATATCACCTTCAGAAAAAGTTTATGTAGAATATATCTGACAAAAATTGCTTCTTATTTAATTTCTAAGACGGAAATGTGGTTTATAAAAGCTAATGAGATACCCTTCAAATTGTGGTTGTCACATAGAGTTTCTTCCCATACGATAAAATCTCAGAATGAAATTTCCTTGTTGTCTCATGAGGGTCTTGCAAGTCTAGAAGTGGGTAAGAGATAGAACTCAGCACTGCTTTGGACTTAGGGGGTAGAACAGCTATGGCATAATCTTCATTTTCACTGGCTACCATGTCACCAGTGTTTTACGGAGCAGTGGCTTGTGGCACAGCCGCCAACTGAGTGGAGAGTCTCAGCACAAGAGTGGGCTCCAGTTCCCTGTAGGCTGCTACAAGCATTCACATTGGGTCTTTAACTAATCTCTGAAATTTAGAACAGTGCCCATCATACTGCAGGATAGAAAAGGGATGAGGTAATAAATGATAACATGGGTCAAATACTCAGTATGCCGATTACATGTTAGGACAGAACTGAGAGGCAAACAACAACATATTGGTGACATATATGATCTCATTTCACCATCAGTTAGTATCCAAACCCCATTCTCCTCCTTAAACTTCTATGCTGTAAGCAGTAGCAAAAACCTGAAAATTTTCTAATACTGCGGAAGCAGGGAGGAAGAAGGTGGATTCTCTAGGACCTGGAAATGTTAATACCTTTTTGGAAGTACTTGGAAGCTGTGGTGATTTCACTAAGAAACATCCCCCATGAATTCCAACTTGCTTCTCAGCAGGTGATGCCATTTTGGGAGGTAACAGCACCTTTGGGAGGTGGGCCTTGTTGTAGAAAGTGGGGCAGCTTTGGGGGTTAGCTGTTTTGGCCCACTTTCAGTTCACTCTCTGTTTTTTCCAGTCTGTCGGTTGAGATGTGAGCTCCCAGCTTTCTGCTCCTGCTGCCATGCCTGCCACTTGCTGCTCTGCCTGGTCACCACGATTGTATGGCATGGGATCTGGCACAACTATGGGCTGTAGGGTCCCTGACTTCCATGGCTGGGCTCTAAGGGGTCATTTTCCCTCCCATGATCAGAAGGGCAGAATTTCAGTCTTATTAATTTCATGGCCCCCACCTAGTCAGCTTTACTTTCAACTGTCCTTACAGATAATTCACTGTGGTGGTCTGAATGAGAATGGCTCCTATAGGCTTATATATTTGAATGTCTAGCTCCCAGTTGGTGGACTGTTAGGGAGGTGGAGGAGGAGGAAGAGGAGGAGGAAGAGGAGGAGGAGGAGGAGGAGGAGGAGGAGGAGGAGGAAGAGGTGTGTCAGTGGGGGTGGGCTTCCAGGCTTCAAAGGCCCACATCAGGTGATATCTCACTCTTTCACTGTCTGCTTGCTGCCTGTGGATCAGGATGTAAACTCTCAGCTGCTGCTCCAGCACTGTGCCTGCCTCCCTGCCTGCTGCCATGCTCTCCACCATGATGGTCATATGGATGGATTCACCCTCTGAGACTGTGAGCACTTCCCCAATGAACTGCTGCCTTCTGTAAGCTGCCTTGGTTAGAACAGTAACTAAGATCTTCATTTCTATTTTCTCTCTAGTTAAGGAGACTCCATGATTGCTGGGAGAGATGATGGGCTCTCTGCATGAGAAGACATTGCCAGGAGTCTGTCTGACAGTAAGCTCATCCATCTGCCCACCCACCTGTTGTCCATCTGTCTGTCCCTCCCTCTCTCTCTCGCCTTCCCTCCCTCCCAACTTTCCTTCTTCTCCCTTCCCTACCTTCCTTATTTCCATATGAAAATGCTGGTTGTCTTAGTTTGTGCTTATTATCCCAAAGGCTGGTTGGCTAGCCCACTGAGCCAAACGGGTGAGCACCAGGTTTAGTGAGAGTCTTTGCTATTAAAAAATGATAGGGGCTCAGTGGTTTAGAGCACTTGCTGCTTTTGTAGAGGACCCAGGCTCAATTCCCATCACCCACATGGCAGCTCACAACTGTCTGTAGCTCCAGTTCCAAGAGATGGGACACTCTCACCTGACCTCTACTGGCACTGGCGTAAGACCCACACATGGTTCACAGACATGTAAGTAGGGAAAACACTCATACACAAAATAAAAGATGTCAAAGTAGACAGAAACTGAGGAATATATCTGAAATCAAACTCTGACCTCCACATGTTATGCACATACATGTTCTCACACATATATGAACACAAGAAGACACCCCAAAGGGGGACTCTTAGCTTTCTTTTCAGCAGTCTCCATCCCTTAAGCCTGACTATTTCTGCTAGATCTCTAATAAAAGCCTAGTGGCAGTTGTAGACAATAGAACAGAGGACCAACTTGGGGTCCCAAACAAAAGAGTGATGGAACTCTGTCTGGTGCCATTCTGAGGACTGGAATTTACTGGCATCTGACCCTTATTTCCTTTCCCATTAAGCACACAGAATTGCTATACCACAACTGCAAATGGGACTCTTTGAATTCCTAAGTTCTCTGAGGACTATGTGCACAGACAAACTCAGAACCCACTTGCTATTAACAACTTCTTCTTTTTAATTTCTAAAATTCCCAGACACCAACTGTGGAGGATGTGAAGGCGTCATTTTTAAAGAAAGTCTGAAATGAGCTGCTGTGGATAAGGGCGCAGGCAGATGCCAGAGTTTCACCCTCAAGCAAATGCCTTCAGAATGCATCCACCTTGGGAAGCCAGGATTGTATTGAAAGTGCTGATGCATCTTTCTGTAGTTTCTTTAAAGCACTATTAGTTTCCTGCAGTTCACAAAAATATTGTAACTTGAAAAAGTGTTGGATACTGTACTTCCAAGGCCAGCTATTTTCCCCGTCTCAGGGAATTATAAGAACTCATAAAATAATTAAATGGCTGTAGTAAGAACAAAGTTCACAGGACCAAACCTGCTCGGAATCGTCAATGAGTTAACTTGGTCTTGCCCTAGACAGATGTCAAGTTCATATCTGTATTTGTGAATGTGGCTGCCAAAGGTGCCTCGTTAATGAGTTCAAGGGTTGGGTCATTCAATGTACCAGCAGGCTTCAGTCCTCCAAGGTCACCAATTACATCTCTGGCCTGGGCTGGCCCTCTTCCCTATTCCCACTGCCCCATTAGTCTCCTATTTGTCTCTAAATGCAAGCTCTTACACCTGTCACCACCACAACCCCCAGAAGTCTCATGGGACGACTTAGGGCATGGCAGCCCAGTCCTTTCAAAGCTGAGGTTAGAACAAAAACCAGATGACTCTTTGAGAAAAACTCCAGTCCTCAAGACATGGGTCACTTGAGCACTCTTCATCTCAGCACATCTGGGATGCACCGAGGCTGGTCAGCACAGGACATGGAGGACTCTTACAAAGGAACAGACTCAAAATCTTCTTTTCCCGACCCAGTGAACACAGGGGAGTGTCTGGGTTTACAAAGGGATGGATGTGTTTTTGTTTCTCAAAACAAGATAGGGCATTTCAGCAAGGACCTCTTTAAAATGATTCAGGTTAGGGCTCTCATCTAGCACAGACTTCAGGAGTGAAGGAAGTGACCTTATTGGAAA